CAACCTGTAAACTGAATAAAACGTCTACAGGTCTGTAGATTGAATATGTAGTCTACCATGTAAAATCTATCAAAAGTGGATTTGTGTATTATTCATTAAGTTTTTTCAAAACTTTTTTTTATGAAAGTGTGTGTTAGTTAATCAGAAGGGTCTTGAATGATTTTCAGAAGATAATCTGTTATAATTAGGAAGTTATCAATTTTTTTGTTTGTCTATGTTGTTAGCTTAAAATTTGTAGACGTACTTGTAAATCTATGTTAATTTTTTTTTTATGAAAGTGTGTGTTAGTTAATCATAAGAGTCTTGAATGATTTTCAGAAGATAATCTGTTATAATTAGGAAGTTATCAAAAAATTTGTTTGTCTATGTTGTTAGCTAATAATCGTAGACGTAATGGTAAGTCTACAGTATAATTTTCTGTTACAGTGTTCTCGTTTGTAGAAAGCTTATAGGAGTTGTAATTTTCTGTTACAGTGTTCTCGTTTGTAGAAAGCTTATAGGAGTTGTCATCGTACCTCATTGTTGTTGGCCATTTGATATATATAGACGTTTTTCACTGTTTAAATGATATTATTCACTACATTGCAATCTTGTGTCAGTGGACAAAACTAAGTACGTGTGTTTGAGTGCTGATTATAACTTTCCATTTAATGTGTTACCCATTATACTCACTTAGACTATAAGATAAGATATTGTTCAAGCAACAAAGTTGAATCATACCACAGAGAATTTATACAAGTGAGGCTACTGATTGAGATCAAGCAAGAGCTGTTTCAGTGCATCCGGAGACAGGTATGTTCAAACACTCTTGTCCATCGGAGTTTCTCTTGGTCTTAACTAGTTAGTGATCTTTAAACTCCGTGAGATGAGAGTTGAGTCACTTGACTGCTCACAAAGAAGCATTCACGTGAGGCTGAATACAGTTCTTCAGTGGGCATGCCGTCTTCATCTGGGTGAGAAAGTTGGTAGTCAGCGAGAATCTTGAACACGTTCTGAGCGTTTGGTGTTAGACTCTGTAAGACAATGGCTGCTGTTTTAGCGGTTTGAGCTGTGCTTCCCTGTGCAAGAACCAGTGGGAGGAAGACACCTTCGACCTTGTATGGTGCAAATGTTGGAACGTGGTGCCATAGCCAGTTAAATTGTTTGTGCACCATTTTCTTGTCCCACACTGCAATGAGTACATGAAACATCATCTCAGGACTATAAACAATTTAAAAATAAAAGTTCAAATGAAACCAAAACTGTACCATATTGTTGTAAGCAATCCTTCAACTCCAACAGGACCACGGGCATGGATCCTGCATGTGCTTATTCCCACCTCAGCACCAAGTCCAAATCG